AACTAAAAGCAATTTAGTATTTAGTGTAGGAACATTAAAAACTGAGGATAAGGTGAGGGTATCTGAAGCTCTAATGTTTCCCTTGCCAGAGATAGGAGTAAGGGAGGCATTAGCAAGAGAGGTCTTGTCTTGGCCAAATAAAAGTTGATAAGTAGGAAATAAATGGGACACACTAGCCATATGGTCAGAGGCACCAGAATCAATTACCCAAGGTATCCTATAATTACCTAAGATAGAAGCATGGTTTGCAGTAGCATGAATACTTGAATGGGCATATGCAAAAGAGGAACCATTCCCTGAAGAGGAACTAGCTGTAGTAGTAGATTCTAAGTGGTTGATGAGCTGTCCATACTTCTCATACTTTGCTATGGGAGCTACAAGTTGTTCCCCTATTGATTTCTCATCACTATAACCTTTTTCAACCTCAAAATAGGTGGCTACATTGGCATTGCCACTCTTCCTAGTTCCCACTCTTCTTATCATTATTGGTGTTCTTGAATCTAGGAGGTATGAGCTTTGGATGTAGCTTCCAATAGGTATCCTTTGTGTGCTTAAGTTTCTTGCAATACTCACATACCACATCTTTCATCTCAGTACCGGCCCTTGGCTCCATCCCAGCATTGTCTTTTGCTAGAATGTTTTGTCTGACAATATCATATCCAGTGAGGAACTCGAAGACCCGATTTCCCTCCACTAGCATAATGACATTATTATCCTTGTCAATATAATGACTTTGTTACCCTTATACATTGTTAACACTCCCCCTCAGCTAGTTATAGATATCATACATGCCTACCTAAGGAACTCCTTTGGTGAGACAATAAACTAGTTGATCTCCAGACTAGAAATAATAAACCTCACCATTAGTAACGCATTCTCTAATAAAGTAGTGGTCTACTTCAATATGTTTAGTGTGATAATGCTACATAGGATTGAGGAAAACATTAATTGTTGTCTGATTATCACAGTGTAATTTCATAGGCTTCTCAAACTCAACTCCAATCTCACTTGAGAGATTATTAAACCAAAGCAACTTGGATATCCCAGGATCCATAGCTCTATACTCCACCTTTGCATTAGAGTAGGCAACAACAAATTACTTTTTAGACCTTAATGAGGCAATATTACCTCCAAAAAATGTGCAGTATTCAGACGGTAGACCATCTATCATCAATAGATCCTACCCGGTTAGCATCTATGAAGGCTTCCACCTTAAGATGACCCTGATTGGAAGATACCCTTTCTTGGATTATCCTTCAAATGGCACATAATCCCATCCATTGCCTATGTATGAGTTGTTCTTCGATGATGCATAAACTGGCTAACCAACATAGTTTTCAAGGGCGCCTTATCACCTAGTTGCCTAGGCGATGGATTTTTTAAGTAAAAAATATATATCCTAGGGTAGTTCTCTAGGTTCCATAGCCATATTTCCTTAACAATTATCCATAATTTTCATAAGAAAAGTATAAACTTCATGTTTAAGTATAGAAAATCAACATATTCATGAGAAGAAAAAGAAGAAAGGAAAGAAAATTCAAAAAATATAGGGATGAACCTATATTTTTGTTATAGGAAAAGAAGAAAATGTGTTGATTAGACAAAATTTTAAGTTCTTTACTTGTTGGTTCAGGTTTGAAGTCTTTGAGGGTTCAATACAGAAGTTATCAATGTTTGTGTTGATTAAACCCTGACAAATAAGAAAATAATAAAAAGGAATTAGTATATAAGAAAAATGGATATTTTAGTTTAAATGTTTTTTTTATAATTATAATCTCAAAAAATTAAGAATATAAAAGTATTTTATAACATGATATACAAAACTACTTGGCGATTAGGTGAGGCGAGCCTCCAAGGGCTCCTTGTCACCTAGGCATTGCCTTGACAACTATGCTAATCAAACTCACATCATAGGCAATATTGGGTCATGTGTGACAAAGATACAACCACCACCCTACAAATCTTTGAAAGACTCTCTTGTTTGGGAAGGACTTCCCCATCATCAGCACCTGACTGGAGATCAATAGGAGTCTCAACAGCTTTGACCCCTAACTTTCCTCTCTCTTGTGATAAATTTAACATATACCTTCTTTGTGAAATAATTACTTAGATCTAACCACCTCAATGCCAAGGAAGTACTTGAGTTCTCCAAGGTCTTTGATTTCAAATTCAAATGCTGAGAAAGCCTTCAAGTTAACAACTTCAGTAGGGCTATTTCCAATAGACAATATCATCTTCATGACAAACAACACCATCACCGAGTTATTTACCTTCTTGATGAAGTGAGTTTGATCAGCTTGAGACTAAATAAAACCAATCTTCTGAATGGTTCCCCTAAAGTGGTCAAACCAATTAATTTGTAAACTTTACCTTGACTGTTAAGTCACCACTGAGGAAGGCACTTTTACATCCATCAGGTAAAGAGGAAAAGAAAAGTGAGATGCTAGAGAATGAATGGCCTGAATGGAGTTCATCTTGGAAATAGGAGAAAGGGTTTTTAATAGTCAATACCATATGTAGAAGTATCTACCAAGTGAGCTTTGTATCTTTCAATTGATCCATCATCCTTGTGTTAACTGTAGATACCCATTTACAACCAACTAGGTTCTTGTTCTTATACCATATTATCCAAGAAGAAATCAAGGTAAAAGGTAGAGAAGAACAGAAGAACAGAAAATTGATGGAGGGTCCAAAAATCTGGGTTGGCGATGCCTAAACTTCTATTTATATTAGGGTGGCAGTACAACTTAAGGTAAAAAGACTAAAGTGCCCTTGCAGCACATACTAACACAATCGCAACTCCTAATGATTCATATAGCAGATAGACACCAAATAGTGCATCCAAAAAGGTAATAATAAAGCTGGGTGGTAAACAGTTCTGAAGAAAAAAAAATTGTAAATATTCTTCAGACCTCAGAAAATTATGGGATACCTCTAGGAGATCTAGAAATATGCTTCTGGTCAAATATTACAGAATCCATACACAGATTCAACCCCACTAATTCACAACCAAAAGATCAGAACTGTAATTTTCTCTAATTTTCCACCTTAAAATAAAAAAAGAATACTAGATCTTTTTAAAGCATCATTAAAAAATGTATGAAAATTACTCTAAATTCACGGTTGATCATTATTTAGGTTTCTTAAGATCTGCTGATTGCTGACTATGCAGCTGCTAATGCCACCCATATGGCTGCCAGTGATGTCAGCAACACCTTGGTGACTGTGTCAGACTTCTCTATTCAATATCAGTTACTCTGATACCAAATAACTCACAAATTGGTGGCTTATTGTGAATGAAATCACAAGAAAGAAATGGGGTGAGAAAGTCTATTGTCTCTCATACCCCTCTATCATTAACATTTTATAGTTGTATTTCAAAATTCAAATAGCCTCTTAATAGGCACCTAATCATCAGCCAAATGCAATGACATTGTTACTCCTATACATTGTTAACAACATCAAATCTTTCAATCTTTTATTTTTCTGGTATTTCAAAGTAAACTAGAAAAATATCATAACAGTACCTTTTAATAGAAAGCAGTACATGAAAAACTAAGTAAAAGAGAACCTCTTCAGATTCTAGGGTTCTTACAAATTAAAGTTTCAGGTCACCAGAATACTTTATGACATTTCTATTCTGTTCTATCAGATTTTAGGGTACTTAGGCATTTAAGTTATATGCCATTAGAACACCCACTGACATATCTATACTGATTGATGATGTCAATAGAGTCCTTTACCTGTTGATGACTTCTATTGATCGTGCAATAGCTCTCAATATAAAATATTGATTTGTTTAATAGTGTGGAAAGGAGATTAGATAGAATGAGTGGATAAGAGAAGAGAAGAGAAGAGTAGATTTAGTGTTTGGGAGAATAGATTGTTAGGGCTGGATGCTCCATTCTACTGATATCATCTGATAGTTTACAAAGACAACAATAATAATCCTCATTAGTATTTAGTAAACAAAAATGAAAAGACAAAACTGCCTATGAACTTATTCTTTATTCTCTACATATAGCATCCCAAATCACTCACCACTGCCCCATATCTCTGCCTAGCATTCAGAGTGTTCATACTTTTTGCAATAGTTGGCTGCCCTTGGCATTAGCACACATCTTGAATTCTCGGCATTGTCACTCTTTCACCTTAAACAATTGATTTTTGTCATTCTTTTTTTACCAAATCTATGATTTGGGTAGTTGAGAAACAGATGTCAGAACAAACACATCAGTTTGAGGTGGAAATAAAACAGTGGGTGAGAATTTGTAATTTATGTAGTTAGTGTACCATATTATTGTGCTCTTCTACTACTGAAATATGTTTTGTCATTCTGTTATGTATTTTTTTTTGCCAAATATGGGTATTTAAGAACTTCTACATATAAATGACAAGAAATATAAATAAACTCTTTAATGTGGAGATAGATTCACTTGGACAACCCATAACTCTCTTGTGCAGATTTAGTTCTCCAGGGTTCTCATATAGGGCTCATGGCTAAAACTTTTTTAAACTGCCTAGGGAAACTAAACTAATGAACATGATAGTTAAGGGGATGTTTGAAGGTTGAGGAATCAAACCAAGTGGTTTCACCTCCATCTTCCTACTTATAGTTAAGATAGCATTCCAAAAATCTGCCTTATGGGCGTACATAAAATGAAACCACCATTCTGAATGTTAATAATTTCTCTTGGAAAGAAAAATAACAAGGTCAAGAGCCAGAACCTGACAGGACGCCTGTTAGTTCCACTGAATGGAATCAAGTACTTTAAACATTAAAAAGAGAATAACTTAAGAAAAGTATTAAGTTTTCAAAAGAAAGGAAACACAACCGTCTGATAACAGTTAAAGGCAAAGTTTTACTACTTGAACCAGTGAGCTGAAAAAATCCTGGTAATGGAATCTGTAACTCATATCTAACTTTATTTGTTACTTTAATTGTAATCAACCTACAAAAGTGAGAAAAAAGGTTATATATATGACATATTGACACTTACAGAGAGCCTCCTCCTGCAGGACCAATTGCTTTGAAAGTAGACATTAAGGTCATCGAAATGCCATTTGCAGCTCCTCTTTGATGTTGGGGCTACAATTGCAGTGTCATGTCAAAAAGTGTTTAGCAAGAAAGAAAATTAAAAGGGAGTCCAAAAACAATAAAGAGTAGGAAAATATGAGAAATAAACTTACAACAGCACTATTCAGAAGAATAAATAATCCAGTAAGAGTTACCACCTATTTGAATAAACAAAAACCCTTAGGAAGATGACAGTAGATAGAGAAAATGTTAAATATGCTCTTATGTAGGATGAACATTAATATTAATAAATATTATTAATAGTTCAGGGGTATTTTAGTTATTTGAACTTTATCACATTATGTAATTACATGGTGTCAGGGACTATTTAGTAATTGATATTATTATATGCATTAAAAGGATAGCACGTTGATGCAAAATAGAACACTTTGTCTTCGTAACATTCTTCTCTACACTGTACCTATTAGACCAATCACTGACTTTATTGTGCTTAGAGTACATCTTGGTATTAGAGTCAATATTTTTTTTTTTATTTGGAAACACGATTTGGCTTCTGATGCATCATTACCCACAGCTGATGTCAAGAGGCCATATGGTATGACAAGCCAATCATCTTTTTATGGAAATTTTATGGGCTTTTGTAGACTTGGTGTACTGTTGTATAATAGGACTGTACATACTATAATATCCTTGCTTAATGTTCCATCTTCTGTGGAGAATTCAATCGAGAAGATGCAAAGGGATTTTCTTTGGGGTATTAAAGGCATTGAAAAGAGGTATCATTTAGTAAAATGGTATTTAGTTTGTAGGGATAAGAAAGATGAAGTGCTGGGCATTGAAAAGAGGTACCATTTAGTAAAATGGTATTTGAACAATGAGCTCTTGGGTAAATGGCTTTGGAGGTTTGAGGTTGAAAGGAATGCTCTTTGGAGAAGGGTAGTGGATTTTGATGGGACACAAGGAGGTCAAATGCTCATATGGGGTGTGTGTTTGGAATGGGATTATGAGCTTTCAATCAGCTTTCTTTAATTATGTTTCTTTTAAGGTCGGAGATGGTTCATCTATGAAGTTTTAGGAAGACGGTTGGGTGGGGATGATTGCCAAATTTTGTGACTTATGTCCTTGACTGTACACCTTAAGCAGGAAAAATGTGTCTAACCAATCTTTGATTTCCCACAATCTTCCAGGTGCTCCCTCTCAAATGCTCATATGTGTCTAACCTCTATGACACCTCTATTCTATTTTTAAACTAGACAGCCTGTATGGTATGCATTACCTATCTATAACTTGTAAGTATTGCACTCTACCATTTTAATTCATTTTTTGCACATGCAACACACTTGTCATGTGTAAATTTATATAGCGAGAACATTGTTTTGTCAACAAAAAACAAGAAAAGATACACAATTTTAGCAATAAAAATCAAAGCACAATCAAGTAAAATACAAAACATAAATAGAAAACTATTAGATACAATGCTTATATGCAAAGACAATATTGTGGTAAGCCTTTTTTTTTTGTTAAATTTGAAGCCATTCAGGATTTACTTGTGCTCCCATCATTTTGATTTTCTCATTATAGTTCTCCTAAAACAATGTGTCACATTCCTTATATAGATTGACCTTGGCTCCTACACCAAACTCTTACCACAATATTCTTTATGTACTTATAAAGAAAACCTACAGTTCAAGAGAAAGCTATTGTGTTACCAACAAACTTGGCAGAATTATCTTCAGCACACTCTTGAAAATACAAATTTTTATATCATTAAACTATTTTACAAGTTCATTTGGCCAAAACAAAATGATTTTAATGCAAACTCAATGAAAATTGTAACAAATTGCATCTTCTTATTAACAGAACATTCAGTACCTAAGGAATATAAGTTCAGGTTAAACTTGACTTACAGATAGGACATTCTTCAATATGGAAGCACAATTTATCACTAATTGAAGAGTGAAGCCTGATAGCCGAGCTATAAAGGGATAACTTGACAACAATGGAATTGACAAAACCTGTATATTCAAAGTACTGGAAATTTAATGGTGTACAAATTTTGTACATAAAACACAAATAGACAAATGATAAAACGTGGTGTTAAATGAATACCGCTGCAAGGCGGGAAACCATTATTGGCCCGAGAAATTTCTCAATACTTGGATATAGGAAAAGCTGAAATAGCAGAAGACCAAAACCTAATAATGTTGAAAGTGGTCAGTAACACAATTTTGTGAATGTAAACGTGTTATTAATAAACAAGGACAAGCAAAAAAACAATTAAGGGGAAAAACTAGGTTGTAACTTGCAAGACTATCAAGGTTCAACAATGCATGCCCATTCATAGATATGCATTTACCTTTCTAGTTTATCAATTATTAATCAAAGCTTCAAATGTGAACAGAGATATTGCTGTACATAGTCAATGTACCTTATGTGTACATCTATCTCATTTTATCATTTGCTTCCTTTCCTTGTTTTTATTTTACCATTGATTTAGCCCTGTTATATACCGTAGTTATTAGACACAGGGAAAATAGTGTCATTTAATCCATTATATTTAAACACTCTTAATAAAATAACAATATGGGTGGTGTCTGTAATAATTTTCAGGGCTTTTCCTTGAGGTATTGTAGGGCCAGTTCGGTATAATTTTTCTGTTTTTTTTTATGAAGTGTTTGCCTTGTTGGTGATTTTTTACCACTTACATATTGTAATAATCCATTCTTTTTAATATTTTTTTTTCTTTTATTAAAGAAGTAATACAAAATAAAGAATTTGATCCTTTAAGACTTGGAATATGAGTATTGCCTAAATACCAGAGATTGCAAGAACTTCACCAACACTTTGAGATGAGAAGCCCAAACCTCCATATTTTCTATCACTAACAGCCCATAGTGAGAATACCTGTAAACATAAGAGGTTGATCATTAATGTAAAACAGAACAAAAAAAGATTGGCATCAACTAGAAAATCTAGACATGGGAACGATAAAAAAAATATTAGATTTAATCATGCCTTGATATTTAGAAACAAAGCAAGAAGAAAATAGAGAAAAAACTGAATTCCATAAGCAGATGCTTTCCTCCAATAAGAAGACTAGGCTTCCTAGACAGAGTTAGAAATGGAAACAGAAGATAACAGGGATATGAATTGTTTATAAGAAAAATAAGTGATCAATGGATAAAAAAACCAGGGATGGGATGCACAGTACAAGCGTGCTTACCTTTCCTAAGAACAATGCAAAGGTATTGAACTGGGTGAAAGACTGGTTTTAGAAATGGAAAAGAACATAACAAGTATATGAATTGTTCATAAGAAAGAGATAAGTGACCAAGGGATAAAAAAACTAGAGATGGGATGTGCAGTACAAGTGCAGTTACCTTTTCTAAGAGAAATGGGAAGATATTGAACTTGGTGAAAATGCTGGATTTACTGACTAGGGAGAAGATGTCAAAGGAGCCAAAGACCTATGCCATATATACACTAGTTTTTATGGCTTCTCAAAAGTGGTCTGGTAGACTCCACAAGAACTAGAATTGGCACCAAAGGACTAATCTTAGGAAACCACATTAATTATAAATAAAGGCATTGCTTCAGAAAAGGTAATACCTTGGCAAATAAAAAATTTTCTCAACTTAAGACTATCATTATATCCCTTTTGAGTCTGGAATATCCAAAAAGACACATTTTGAAGCTCTAGAATATAGTTTATCAATTCCTAATTGTAAGCATTGGACAAAATAGAGGTAAACATCTACATGTAGAATCAAAAGAAGGGGAATTTGGAGGAAATAAGGCCGAGAAAAAAGAGACAGACCGTGAAGAACATAAATAATCAGTCTATTGATTAAAAAACAAGATGTAAGAAGAACATCACTCGAAAACATTTTTGGAACATTCATCTGTATAGCAAGGATTAGAAAGTGTCTAGTAGGTGGCAATTTTTTCCTTCAGCCACACCATTTTTCTGTAGGATGAACAAGTGAGAGGTTTAATGAATAATGCAAAATTTTAACAGGAATGAAAAGTTGACTTTTTATTTCATCATAAATCAAATGAAAAACAGATAACAACTATGATCTTTCTTTCATTGAATAGAGCCAAGTCATCCTTGAATATTTTTTTTTATCAATAACAGAGATCTTTATTGAATTCAATTAAGAATAAGTTACAGAAAAGTGGGGGGAGGTAAACTATCTTAACTCCCCCAAACAAAGAAAAGAAAAAGTACAGAGTTAGAAATAAGCCCAAAACAAAGTGATGTGGAAAGAAAAACAAATTACAAGCAACACTAAGTATACAGCAATAAGCACAAGAAATACTAAGCTGAAAACAACAAAACAAGTTGGATTTTTAGGGATTTCAGACCTAAACCTGAAGTAAAACTCCTCCTAGAACAGTTCCGCTACAGTAACAATGGCGGCAAGCTGGCCTCCTGCACAGACATGCAGCGATGGAGGGATTGGAAGGTGCCAAAATGGGTCGGCTCCTCAAAACTAGAGGTGTCAATTGGACTGGATTTGGTCCAACCCAATCCAGTCCAATGTGAGTCCACTTACAAATGGACTGGACCCAATCCAGTCCAAATCCAATACAAACCAAACCCAATCCAATCCATTAAAATGTAAATGGATTTGATCGGATCCAGTCCAAACTGAATGAAATGTCAACAATTATATAAAAAATTACAAAAATATATTAAAATGAAGAAAATCTGAAAATTAAAAATGTAGTTCAGCAGATCTAGAAGAGAGAAGAGAGAAGAGAGGAGAGAAGAGAGAAAAGAGAAAAGAGAAAAGAGAGATCTATTCCAAGAAGTGTAGCTGGCGGCGCCTAAGTTAATATTTATACTTAGGGCGACAGCTCAAAGATGAAAAAACCCCTTAGTAGGCTGCAGGCCTCTACATACACATTACAACACTCCCCCTCAAGTTGGAGCATATATGTCAATCAAGCCCAACTTGTCACATAGTTCATCATGTTGCAAATAGTGAAGACCCTTTGTAAGGACATCAGCTAGTTGTTCCTTGGAACTGATGTAAGGAGTACAAACTTCCCCCTTTTCAAGTTTCCCCCTTATGAAATGCTTGTCGACTTCGATGTGCTTGTTCCTATCATGAAGAACTGGATTGGCTGCAATATTAATGGCTGCCTTGTTGTCACAATAGAGAGACATTGGACCATCAACTGAGAGGCCTAACTCTCCAATCAAATTCTTCACCCATAGTACTTCAACAACTCCATGTGCCATGGCCCTATACTCGGCCTCAGCACTAGATCTGGCCACTACACTTTGCTTTTTGCTTCTCTAAGTGACCAAGTTCCCACCAACAAAGGTACAATATCCACTAGTTGATTTCCTATCATCAACTGCTCCAGCCCAATCTGCATCTGTGTAGACTTCCACTTTCATATGATCATGTTTTTTGAAAAGTAACTCAGTTCCTAGATACTTCTTTAGATATTTGAATACCCTCTCAACTGCCTCTGGATGGAAGGATGTTGGTGCATGCATAAACTGATTGAGGATACCAACAGCATAAGCTATATCTGGTCGAGTCATTGATAGGAAGAGGAGTCTTCCTACCAACCTCTGAAATTTTCTGATATCTGTCACTGGTTCTCTAGTACAATCACCAAGCCGGTGGTTTTCTTCAATAGGAGAGTCTACAGGTTTTGCTCCTAACTTTCCTGTGCCCTGCAAAAGATCTAGGACATACTTCCTTTGGGAAATGAAGATGCCCCTTTTTGAGCAGGCAACCTCAATGCCAAGGAAATAACGTAGTTGTCCCAGATCTTTCACCTCAAACTGCATAGCAAGGGATTCTTTGACCTTTTTAATCTTAGAGTTCCAACTCCCCATAATCACAATGTCATCAACGTAGACAATTAATACCACAACATTCTTCTGGTTTCTCTTGACAAATAGAGTATGGTCAGATTGGCACTGCTTGAACCCAATTTGCTGTAAAGCAAAGTGAAATTTGCTAAACTAGGCCTTTAGGGATTGTTTCAAACCATATAAAGATTTTTTTTGTTTGCAAACTTTCCCTTCACACCCTTGTGCTACAAACCCAGGAGGCTGAATCATGTAAACTTCTTCTGCCAGATCCCCATTTAAGAAAGCATTTTTGACGTCCAGTTGGTGGAGCTCCCAATCAAAGTTAACAACCAAGGATAGTATAATCCGAATATTATTCATTTTAGCAACTTGGGCAAAAGTCTCTGCATAGTCAACCCCATACACTTGAGTATACCCTTTTGCAACTAGCCTGGCTTTATACCTTTCAACTGACCCATCTGCTCTATGATTTACTGTGAATACCCACTTGCATCCCACTGGCTCCTTGCCTTCGGGAAGATTCACCAAATCCAAGGTATTGTTTTTGTGAAGAGCACTAATTTCTTCCTTCATTGCCTCTACCTATTTAGGTATAGATAAGGCTTCTGCAACACTTTTGGGAACAGAGACGGAATCAATGGTAGTAAAAAAGGCACGAAATGCAGGAGTAATGTTTTCATAGGATAAAAACTGAGCAATAGGATGCTTGGTAGTACATGATCGAACCCCTTTTCTATGAGCAATTGGGACATCAAGATCATTAGTAGGATCATTAATAGCAATAGGTTCAGTCATATCAAAGGGAACAAGGGTACCTGGATTTTCCTTCAAGGAGTCAGAAGGTACTGGATGTATAGTCTCAAGTTGCTCCATAGGCTTCAAATTTAGCAGTCCCTTACGATGTCTCAAGAAGACATGGAATGGAGAGGAGTCAGGAATAGGGAGATGAGGGATTTGAGGAGCTAGAGCTTGCCTCTCCTCCTTCACACTATTCTCCCCCTGAGGAGAGGCTTGGAAGAAAGGTTCTGACTCAAAAAAGGGCACATCTATAGATACAAAGTACTTAGAAGTGGCTGGATTGAAGCATTTGTAGCCCATCTGGGAAGAGGGATAACTCAAGAAAACACACGGAACAGATTTGGGGTTCAATTTACCCCGGTTAGGAGATAGATCATGAATAAAGCATTTACACCCAAACACACGTAGAGGAATGGAAAATAAAGGGGATTGAGGGAAGAGAAGTTGATGTGGGGCCTTGTATTGCAGAAGGCGTGATGGCATACGATTAATAACATAAGGTGCAACCATCACAACCTCAACCCAAAACTGTTTTGGAACATGCATGTGAAGCATCATACTACGGGCAACTTCGAGGAGATGGCGGTTCTTCCATTCAGCAACTCCATTCTGTTGCGGTGTTCTGGCAAATGAGCTTCAGTGAAGAGATCCATGTGAAAAGAAAAACGCAGATAACTTTGCATTATTTGATTGGAAAATTTGGAATTCAACATGAAATTGAGTGAAAACCATGCGATGGAAATCTTGTACAATCTTGGGTACCTCTTCTCTCGAGTGCATAGGATATAGCTACGTGTATCTTGAATAGTCATCAATAAAGCTGATAAAGTACTTGTGTCCACCCTCAGTAGGTATGTTAATAGGGCCCCAAACATCAGAAAAGACAATATGAAAAGGCAAAGTAGATCTTTTATTATTTGATGGAAAAGTTGTTCTATAATGCTTACTCAACTGACACGTTTTGCAATGCAAACTAGTAAGAGACACTGACTTGGAACAATTTAGGAAACATAACTTTCAAAGACTCAAAGGACAAATGACCATGGTGATTATGCCATAACCACCATTGACTGTTTGTAGACTGACTCATAAGACTCACAGATGTTGATGTCATACGGCCAACTTTATTCTCTAGGATGTAGAGACCATCAACCATATGTCCTTTACCAATCGTCCTCCCCGAGGTTAAATCCTGGAAAACACAAGAATGAGGAAAAAAGGTTACACAACAGTTTAAAGACCGAGTAATACTACTTATAGATAA